GATTCTCTATGAAAATTTGACAGATAAAATGAGGGGTTCGTGGATTTTCCTATTTTTCGAGGGGTACACATCGACTAGCTTGGGACCGAAGATAGTACCAGAGCTGAGCCAAAAAGTTGAGAACGTTTCTTCGGGACCCACTACCCAATTTAAAAAAAAATCACCCAGACGAGGGGTAAGACAACGAGATATCGTTTTCAAATGTTCTAAAAAAATTTTTTTCAAGTCATTTTCTACAAAAAACTCTTGGACGGCAATGTCGTAACATGCTTTAGTTAGGCAGTATACAACCGACATCGGGACAACATACAAAAATTCATAAAGAGGGCGGTACCAAGAAATAAGGACGTGTTAGGGTATAGGTATGTTAAGGACTTTTACTCAGGGGTCCACAAGAAAGTCAAATATGGTCAACTTTCTCAGTCCTAGAAAAAAAAGAGTTCAGAAAAAAGAGTTCACTGTGCAACAAGTGAAATATATGGAGAAAATAAAACACGGTTGCTTATCGGGCCATCCTGCCATGGCAGAAGCATGCGAACTATTGAATTTATTTACAATCTTACAATAGAACAGTAGGCATGATAGCACTACGCTAGCGTCACTTGTGTGTTGATATGAGTATTTGAGTAGGGTAGTTGCACACGTTTTGTACAAACAATAAACTATATCTTGAAATCCTCACCATCTACGACGTCAGGACATCTGCGTGAAGTCCACACCCAGACTTGTGTCACGTAGTAAAAGAACTCTAAACTAACCAGCCCACAAATTAGAAAACATTGATCACCTGAACTACTTTCCCGAAGACGGAAACTTTCTAAATAGTATCGATCTCAAGCTATACATATTTTATACGCTGCATAGTGAAAAATTTGTGTACTACTGTTCTCTAACCAATCCGCCTTGGTATACTGTCATTGGCGTGCACAGGGTGGGGCAAGGTGGGGCAATTGCCCCACCTTTTATAAATAAATATATTGCCTGAAAATTGCACCACAAAGGTGCATGAAGGGACAAACTTCAATGAAATTTTTTGGTTAAAAAATTGCACCACATTCCTGGTGTAATTTTTTTTTTTCAATGTTGTTCATGGAGGGTTAAAAGAAAAGGTTAAATTTAAGGTTGAAAAAAATCACCTTCGTGAAGTAAATTCGAAGAAAAAGCTTTTAATTGAACATCTAACTAATCAAAATGAATAACTCTGGTTCTAAAATTGAATCGCGCTAAAAATTTGGAGGTGCACATTTATCTGAAAATTTCTGGTGGAAAGTTCGCAACACTGTGGTGAATGTAATAGCAAGATTTATTAATTTTTCTGGTGCATAATTTGCATCAACGGCGCCGGTGGTGTAGTGGTAAGCGTGATTACCTCTCACCCCAGCAGGCCTGAGTTCAATCCCAGTCGGCGCCGCCGGGATGTTCTGAGGCATAACATCTCTGATCACGCCTTCCTTCGGATGGGAAGTAAAGCCGTTGGTCCCCGGTTCATGAGTTGATGGGTCGATAGGTAGGGTCCAGGTGTGGGAGCTGCCTTCCTGGCACGTCGGTAGCATTGGTGCTCAGCACGGAAAACAAGATCGACGGAAAAAACAAACCAAAGGAAAAAAAAAAAAAAATAATTTGCATCGTTCTGATGAATGCAAGCTTAATTAATCATGTTTTATTGTTTTTGATATCATCCACATCCAGAGGGCCAGTCACTTTCGAATGTATGGGAATGGTAGGAAACCATTTGGAAATGCATGAAAATTTTCAATTTTTATTTATTATCGTCTTTATGGGCAGTTTTAGATGCACAAAAATTGCACGAGTACATTGCTATGGTGATAAGGTAAACACTTGTTTATTTGTTTTCTTCTGTGAAAGCATGTTTAGTCACAAATCGTGGATTTTCTGATATTCTGCATACTGCAAAAATGATTTTCCTACCACTGAAGGGGCGACATCTCTCGGATCTTCAGTATAGCTACTACTCAAATCATATTATTAATTGAAAATGTATGGTGGAAAATTGAAGAGGCAAAGCCTGAAGGTGCATGGTGAAACAAACTTCACTGACAATTTTGGGTGCACCGTTCTGGTGAATGGAGGAGCATGCTCTATTGAAAATTTCTGGTGCATATTTGCATCGCTCTAATTAGGGGCTGTCCATAAACTACGTAGACAGTTTAGGGGGGGAGGGGGTTGACAATTATCCACGGCCCATACAAATTTTAAAAATTTTGTATGGACAATTGTCTACGCAGGGGGAGGGGGAGGGGTCAAAAATCCCAAAAAACTGTCTACGTAGTTTATGAACAGGCCCTTAATGAAATGAACAGAAAATTTCTGGTGGAAAACTTGCACTAGCCTGGTAAATGAAGGCACAAGCTTTATTTAAAATTAAGCTAAATTATAAATTTCTGGTGGAAAATCTGCACCGTTCTGGTGAACGGATGGGCAAGCTTTTCGGATTTTTTTTGTTTTTAAATTTGCATTCTTTTGCTGAATAGAGAAACAAATTTTAATAATAATTTCTCGTGTAACATATGCATCATTCTGATAATTGGAGGGAAGCTGCTTTACTGAAAATTTATGTTTAAAAAAATCCGAAAATAGGGGCAAACTTTATTTGGTGGAAAACCTGCAACATTCTGATGATACGAGAAGCCAGCTATATTTAAAATGTTTGGTGGAAAATGGAAAAAGGACATCTGCTCCAATCAGAAGATTGGAGAAGCAAATTTTATTGAACATTAACGGTGGAAAATTTGCATCGTTCTGGTCAGTTGAAATTTTCTGGTGTAAAATTTTCTGGTGGCAAGTTTGTATTGTTTGCGTTCTGAGAAAAAAAATTCTTAAATATTCAGAGAAGAACCTCAAGGATATTGAATTCTTAGGACAGTTCCAAAATATTTCTGGGAAGAAATCAAAGAAAATTCTACGGATAATTTCTAGTGCATCCTGCAGATAGTTCTAAGATAATTTCGAAAATAATACCGAGAAAATAAAATTTTGAGTGAAATTCCAAAGGGATTTTACGCAAAAGTTCAAGCGAATTCCGAGGATAATTTCTAGTTCATTCCGGGAAAAAATTCTGAAACTCTAAAGGAATTTGAGTTCTAAAGTGTTCTGAGAAAAAATCATTAAGAGTTCTAAGCGTAATTCCAGTGGACTTCTGAGATGAATTTCAAAAGAGCTCATAGAGTTCTAAAAATTTCAAAAAAAAAAACTGAGGATGGACTTTTTCGCAACTGTACAAAGATTATAGAAAGCTTTTGGATTCCCTAATTGAAAAGTGGGTATTAGTTTGCCATTGAACCTTGGTATATTTTTGTCTTACTAAGAATTAGTCTAAGAATCTTCTCTAAATTTTTTTGTCATTTGTTACCATTGTTAAAAAGCTACAGCTGTTTATGTGCAATAAATTCGGGATTGTCCTTTATATCATCTTTAAAACATGTTGAATGTTCGGCTTCATTTCCTGTCACCCCGACTAGCGGTACTTTGGGACAGGGTTGACATGCTCAATCCTTCGCACAATTCATCATTCCGTTAACAATCGTTCCAATCGTTACATATTTTTTAAACCTTTTTAATTAACCTATTAGCCTTGGCATTTAGGTCAAAATTTGAAAAAAATTAGAACTACCATTTTTGCTGATGACCAAATTCAACGTACTCGTAACGGTAATAGTAAAGTGTAACTAAAACAGCATATAAAACTTCGTACAGACTATGGCTTACATCATGTAATAACCTTGCAATGTGCACTCATACATAGGATTTCCAGTGAAAACTATATGTATGAGTGCTCATTGCAAGACATGTATGAGTTGGCGATTGTCATCAGGTATATTGATCGACCGACGGAAACATTCGTGGGTGTGAGACGGGTGTTGAAAACAGACGCAACGACCATCTTCAATACTAAAGCTGAGGTCCTGACAGCGATGCAGATTTCTTGGGAGCAGGTGATGGCAGTATATTTTGACGGTGCCAGCCCAATGGCTAGCAGCACTGCTGGAGTACAAGCCAAGTGCAAGGACGAAAACAGCAATATACTTTTATTAGGAGCTTTGAGTTGGTTTATTTCCTTTGAATTCCGTTATAATTGCTTAACTTTTGACAGATACGCGTATTTCGTCTACTACTTGCAGACTTCATCAGTGCCAAGTACTAAACACCACTGATCAAGATCGGATTTATCAAGAGCAATATACTGTTTGTTCACTGCTATGCGCACTGTTTGAACCATGTACTTGTCGACGCATTGTGCATACGAAAGAAGAATGCGAGTCTTATTGATCATTCATGTCGGTTTGGCGGTGCTATCACCACCATCTGACGTGACTTTAGCTCAATCCAACCACCAAGGCAACAACATTGCAGCAAATGTATCATTTCGGTTAAAGACCTACTATCGCAACCATTTGACGAACCGATCATCATCGACATCGTCTCTGGAATTAAATTGCCAATTTCCATTGGCTGTCTGCATTGAAGAAGATGAAGCACCACCGGAGTAAAAAATAAATAAAATTAGCTAAATTGAACAGTAGGGAAACAGTGGTGGATGGACAGCACCATCTCCCACGCACTTTGGAGTATTCACCATCCCCAGATTAAATGCACCATAAAACAAACAATTGCCCCTCCTTCACAAGATTCCTGTGCACGCTAGTGTATACTGTGCAATTTTTCTGAAGACAGTAACCTTTTATATGGCTAGGATCATGTGATATTCCATGCGGCTGTCATACCCCTCAACCATTCCATAGCAAAACGATATCGTGGTTCTCAGAATTTCGTTAAAATTGGTAGTTTTCTTCCTTAGATCCGTATTTTTTCCTTGTCATTAGAATAACCATCCAAAATGGCCGAACTCCGACACAAACTTGGCTCATTGCCATGGAAATCAGAGAGGTTAAATCATAAATTCGTTTATTTTTCGTGGAACTGCTCAGTACAGATAATCGCAAGGAATTCCTTTCTGCCGATTGAAGAAAAAACGGACCACATAATTTTTGTAAGAACTTTATTCTGACTGTTTCGGTACTAGTACACTGAATGAAATCGCAAAAAAAATATATGTAAAAGTTACTTGGTTACAACACTTAGCGTAAAAATAGCGGAAATGTACAGTTCACAAAATGCAAATTTTTAGTAAGGATTTCTTCGTACTGGACTTCTTTCATAATGGCATTTGCTGTAGATTTTCCTTTTGTTTTCTGAATGACTGTCGCTGATGGCACTTTAATCGGTAATTAATCGTAGCTATTAATTCTAGTTAAAATTTAGATGTCGGTCGACATGTCCACTTGGAAAATTTGGATTCCCTTTTTCGCTGTTTAATGAACACATCAATTTGCAGGGTTACACTCTTTGAGTTTTAAACCGAAATGGCGATCCTGGGCAGTATTGGAAACTGTTACACATTTAATCGTACAATCGAAATCAATCACAATGATAGTCGCACTGGTAAAATTAGACATATACTCTTTCGTTACTAGCTAGCTAAATTCGTTGCTGGGAGGTTTTTGATTAAGGAAAATCGGCGGTGTTACTTTAGTGAGTGGTTTTGTTGGTAGTATTTCCAAAACGTGGGCAGTTTTATGGTATTACAAACAAATTAACTACTGGAAACTAGCACGGGTTTTCACCTTCTTCTTCTTCTTTCAAGTATACCTTAACATGATTGCGTATCCTCTCTATAAAAGCTACAGGAATTTAAACTCGTTTACTTACATACTTTCAGTTTTTACATATTTTTGGTTTCTTTTCGGACTTTTCTTCTACGACATAGAATCTAGTTACACTTCTCCCTACAAAAAACATCTCTAAAACATGATCTCAATCTTTTGAGAAATAACTTAAGAAGGCACATACTATTGCAATCGTCGGATGTGCACACTACTGGAAGAGAAGTTAGAACTAGACTCGAGTACACACTTGACATCTGGATACTCTCGATAGCAAATTGCCGGCCTTGAGGGTCTGTTGCTGCGGCCGCTCGAACTGTTGGTGGTCTTCGAGCGAAACGAGCCAGAACGATGTCTGCGTCTCGTAGTAGTGGCAATGACCCTTGCCACCGTTACACTCGATGAAGGGAGTGGCACGGAAGTCCTCTAAGCAGGAACCAGGTCCTGATAGGGACTGACCGCCACCACCATGGCCAACGGCAGTGTGCTGAAAACAAAGAAGAATTCATCGCGTTAGCAAACTTCTTTCAAGTCGCAACCAAATTCACACTCACCATTAAGAAACTGTAACCGATCCATAGACCCTCCCAGCCATTGGGGCAGTTTGGTATCGCCAACGATTGACTGTGTACCGCTATCACATTGGACGGCACTTCGCAGACCGTACAACGTGAAATGTATGGACGCATCTCATGCTCACTCACAGGCATCATCGGTATCGGAGCCGACGTAGACAACCAGAAAGTCCTATCATTTCTCGAGGCATAGTTGCAAACATTATTCTGACCACAGGCCAGAATTGGCAGTGTTGAGAACTTACGAACACATGAACCAGCGGAACCCAAGTCCTGATTGTGTGGATAATCGTTTCCATCGACGTACAGCAGAGAGTAACCATCCCATAGTTTGACATGGCCCGGTTCACACTGTGGAATTTCTTCCGACTGACTGTGTCGGACGAGTAGGATTCCAGTAAGATAATCAGGGGCTGGAGAACATGGAGCACCTTGCTCTCCCTTCGCACCTGGTGTTCCTGGGAAACCATCACGACCAGCACGTCCTTCTAGGCCAATCTCACCTCGGATGCCCTGTAGACCACGTGCACCTTCAATGCCACGCAAGCCGATTTCACCAGGCGCTCCAGGTGATCCAGGGATACCTGGTGGTCCTTGAATACCGACTAGTCCCTTTTCACCCTTCTGGCCATCAAAGCCAGGTGGACCAGGAGGACCTTTGCGCTGTGGAGGCAACAATGGGGTTTCACCCTTTTGACCTTTTTCGCCTGGAGCACCATCAAGACCAGGAAGACCTCGGTTGCCCTTGTCACCCTTTTCTCCAAATACGCCACCCAATCCTGTTGCACCTTCCGGTCCTTGTGGACCACGTTCACCCTTGAGACCTTGAGGACCATTGAAGCCATCGCGACCATCTCGACCTCTGTCACCTTTCTCACCCTGTGGTCCAGGGAATCCTGGGGGTCCTGGATTGCCTTTCTCTCCTGGAAATCCGCGATCACCCTTAAGTCCCTGCGGTCCCGGGAATCCGTCCTTTCCTGGTCGGCCTTCAATACCCGAGTCACCTCGATCACCCTTTTCACCTTGTCTTCCTAGAGGACCAGGTAAACCAACTGGGCCCTCGGGACCAACCAAACCAGGCAGTCCTTTGTCACCCTTTTCTCCTGCTGGTCCAGGGCCACCATCCCTTCCATTCTTTCCAGGGCGTCCAGGTAGACCCTTTTCTCCTTTGACCACTGGGCATGGTTCACCCTTCTCTCCTGCAGGTCCAAGATCACCTTTCATACCAGGCAAGCCTGATAGCCCCGGTGGTCCTGGGAAACCAGGTTGACCTTGCACACCTTGCGCTCCTTTCATACCAATTTCTCCAATTAATCCAGGAACGCCCACCTTACCTGGAGCTCCAGGAGCTCCTGGCAATCCTTGATCACCCTTGTCTCCCTTAACATCCTGAACGGTTGCTGGAGCTCCTCGTTCTCCCGGAACACCGCGGTCACCCTTCAGACCCATATATCCAGCCGGTCCTGGTGGTCCCATGTCACCCTTTTCACCACGATCACCTCGTTCTCCTATGCGTCCAATTTCACCCTTAGAACCCTTTTCGCCATCCAAACCACGGAGACCTGGAGCACCTTCAGTACCAGGAAGACCATCCATACCAGGTGAGCCCGGAACACCTGGGAGACCAGAGCTACCCTTGTCACCTTTAATACCTGGGAAACCAGTAACTCCAGCATCACCTTTCGGTCCATCAAGGCCTGATAAACCATCGAGGCCAGGATTTCCGCGATCACCTTTCTCACCCGAAGCTCCAGGCCTTCCATATCCTGGAAGTCCTGGTTCACCCTTTGGTCCAGAAATACCATTCAAACCTGGTCGGCCGTCAATTCCACGCAATCCTGGAGCACCTGGTTCACCTTTCTGTCCTTTTTCGGAAGAGGAGCCAGGTTCGCCTACAAGACCAGGTGTTCCAGTGAATCCACGATCACCCTTGTCTCCTGGTAGTCCTGTTAATCCGTCTAATCCAGGTGGACCCAACAAACCCTTATCTCCTTTTGGACCAGGAGGTCCTGGAGGACCTAACAAACCAGGAGCTCCCGATAGGCCATACTCTCCTTTGTCTCCCTTGTCTCCACGTTCACCTTTCGGTCCTTGTAATCCTGGCAATCCTGGGGCTCCCGGCAAACCTTGAACTCCCTTTCGACCCTGGAATCCTTTCGAACCGTCATTACCCGGGGGACCTGTATCACCCTTCTGTCCAGGCCATCCAATCACTCCCGGAGCACCAACATCACCTTTGAGACCCGGCAAACCTTTCACGCCATCAATACCTGGTCGACCAGGAGCTCCTGGAAGGCCAGCAGGTCCTTTCGGACCAAGCTCACCCTTCGGACCGACTTGTCCAGGTAGACCAGGGAAACCAGCAATTCCGGCGTCGCCTTTCTCACCAGGATAGCCAACGATACCAGGCGGGCCTGTATCACCACGATCACCAGAGCCACCACGATCTCCCTTTGGACCTCGCAAACCCGTGTTACCTTTCGGACCTGGTGGGCCAACCATCGATAGACCTGGGTCACCTTTGGTTCCTTTCGATCCGGGTAGTCCTGGAATACCTGAGTTGCCGTCCTTGCCGGTGTTACCAGGGAATCCCATTGGACCGGGAATGCCCTTTTCTCCTCGAGGACCAGGAAGACCTCTAGGGCCAACTGGACCGGGGGGACCTTGTGGACCCTGAGATCCACCAAGTCCAGTCAAACCACGATCTCCTTTGTCTCCCTTTTCTCCTCTAATACCTTGCGGACCCATGAAACCTTTGTCACCAGGAGCTCCTGGTGGGCCCTTGACAGCAGCTTCTAGATTCGGAGGAATACTAGCGCATCTTCCTGGCTCACCCTTGAAGCCCACAATACCTTTGTCACCTTTTTCGCCTTGATATCCTGGATTACCCTTCAGACCTGGATCACCTCTAATCGATTCTCCTGGTTTTCCCGGTGTTCCATCGCGACCTAACGGTCCTGGAGTACCATCGATACCTGGTTCACCCGGCCGTCCTTTGTCTCCCTTAGGACCTGCAGGACCTCTCGGTCCAACAGGGCCAGAGTTACCTCGTTCTCCTCTCTCTCCCTTGATACCGGCAATTCCAGGTTGTCCCATCGGTCCTTTTTCACCTTTAACGGGCTGCACTAAATTCCAGTTTATCAGTGCTGGTGCACCTGCAGGACCCTCGGCTCCTGGAACACCTGGGATACCTGATTCACCCTTAAGTCCAGGCGCACCACGTGGTCCTGGGCTTCCATCAACACCAATTTCTCCGGGATAACCTCGTTCACCAGGTGGGCCAGAGGCTCCAGGACGTCCTGCTGTTCCATCGTATCCACGTTCACCTTTCTCTCCCTTAAGTCCTGGTCGGCAATCCGAACAACGGCCACCAATCTCTCCCTTTTCACCACGATCTCCCTTTGCTCCTGATAAACCTGGACGTCCAGAATCTCCTTTTTGGCCGTCAACTCCTGCTCTACCTGGTAGACCAGGGCGACCTTCCTTTGCATCTCCAGGGGAACCCATCAAACCTTTGAAACCGCGTTCTCCCTTTTGTCCTTTTAATCCAGGGAATCTGTAGTTAAAAAAAAATAATTAATTGGTTGTTCGTAAATGGAGAATTATATCATTGACATACCCAGCCATACCAGCGTTACCTTTGGGTCCAACTATGCCTACTCCTGGGTCACCTGTTTCTCCTCGTAGACCTTCGGTTCCTGGTGCTCCTGGGAATCCTCGGGGGCCTTGTGGACCAGGCAGACCAACTGCTCCAGACTCTCCTTTATCACCCTTTTCTCCTGGGAAACCTTCCGGACCCGGTCGGCCCGGAATACCTTGACCTCCCTTAGGACCAATCTGTCCCCTTGGCCCTGGATCTCCGGGGAAGCCGTCAATACCCTTGGGACCCGGTGGTCCAGGATAACCTCTTGGACCCTTCGGACCTGGTGCTCCAGGACGCCCTTCACCACCGCCCGGAGGACCGGGTGGTCCTGGAATTCCTTGAAAACCAGGCTCACCATCTCTACCGGAGTCACCTTTTGGTCCAGGCATTCCCTTCAAGCCATGCAATCCTTCGATACCTCGGTCACCTTTTTGTCCTGACAATCCAACTGGTCCAAAATTACCATCGCGACCCTATAAGTATGATTTAAACATTATTGTGAAGCTCTTGGTACAGTGGGATATGTGGAATAGTTACTCTTGGACCAGGTTGGCCTGGCAAACCCTTTTCTCCTTTCAAACCACGATCACCCCCTGGCCCACGGTCTCCAGCTTGTCCTTTATCTCCTAGTGTGCCTGGTATGCCTCCATCACCTTTATCTCCCTTTTGTCCCTCAGGTCCAACGGTCCCAACTCCGCTTCCCGTAACCTCATAGCTTTCCGTACCCCTCATTCCTTTGTCACCTTTTTGTCCCTTTATGCAGAAACCTTTGATACCTTTGTCCCCTTTCAATCCTTGAGGACCTGGAATGCCAGGTTGACCAGGACGTCCTTCGTAGCCACGTTCACCGGCTTCCCCTTGTCGCCCTTGTAGTCCTTCGACTCCATCCAGACCTGGCTCTCCCTTTTGACCTTTGTTATAATTTTCGGGATCTCGAGCTGCTTCACCTTTGTCACCCTTATCACCTCGTTGACCTGGGTAGCCTCGTGGACCAGGCTCGCCTTTCAAGCCGGGTAATCCAGGAAGACCATCTGTTCCATTGCATCCATCTACACCGGGAATACCGGGTGCACCTGGTGCCCCTGGTAGGCCGTTTGTTCCTGGCACACCAGGATAGCCTGGCAAACCATCACGACCACGATCACCTTTCAGTCCGAGCGGTCCCATCGGACCAGGTTCACCTTTGGCACCTTTGCTGCCAGGTAAACCCTCGGATCCGGTGAAACCCACCATGCCTTTCGGTCCTTGCAGACCGGGAGGACCGGGGAAACCTCGGTTACCCTTCTCGGCGAAACATTTTGACACACAACATCCACCACCGGTACAGTTTTTCGCCGGTGGACCCTGAGCACCAGTAACTGTGTCTATCACATTATAGCTCGGATCAATGTAGGGCTGCGCCGGTCGCGCATAATCTCTGTCGTTTCGATTAAATAGGCCCACGCCTCCTGTCAAATCTTGCCAAAATTGCTACATAGATAAGTGTGGGAAAATGAAGTGAAGGAAAAAAAAAAAAGTTTGCTATTATTAGTAACCGGAAATGGCTGTCGACGGGGCAAAGCGAAATGGACTGCTATTTACCGCATATGTGTGTTGTCCGAACCATACGAGAAGCGTGGTCGTTATTAACCTAAAAATAAAGAGAGCAGAACAAACAACGGATCTTGAGTAATGAGAACGCTAGGAGAAATATTTATAATGAATAGAAAAACGCGTGAAATGTTACCGAGTCGCAAGTGTGTTTGCAGATAAGGATTCTGGGTTCTGAATGAAGTTACCCCTTATCACATACGGTCGGAGACTGTGCTCCGTGGCGAGCGAAAATCATGAATGAAGTTTCAGTGGGATCCACCAACATCACGAGAAATGCGCTCAGGATGTGATGTAATGTGAGTGCTAGTTGTGCGGTCAGGAAGCGAGAAAACGATATCAGACATAAAAAACGAAGGCATCAAGCTGAACGTGGACAAAATTCGTTCTGAGCGGCAGTATCCAATTGGAAACTGTGCAAAAGTGGATTGCTGATAGCACAGGATGAATGACCTCGTGGGTGAACGAACAGCACGTGTGCTACATAGCGAGTTGGTTTGGAAAACGGACTGGTCGATTAGTAGTCAGGTTAAGTACTCAGGACTACACTAGGTCGTATGAATCAAAGCGTTTACTTTACTTTTCCAGTAAGAAAAGCACGGGAAAGTAAAGTAAACTCTTTTTATTCATACGGCCCATTGTCCACTCCCGGGCATGTTCCGGGTACCATCGAGGAAGTACAAAACAAGATTTTTGGAAGTCATACACAGCACCAGGTACCGCACTGTATGTGACTAGGGACTAGCATAGCATATGTGATTGTACAAATCGTGGGTCAACTAATACGTTTTGCAGATTATATCGTGTGTTGGCGCAGAAAAAAAACTTCGGATTAGTGATTTTCCCCTCACAAAAATATAATCTACCAAACAAGCATCGCATTATACACCTGGCCACATCCTTACAATCGTAGGGGATGGAGGGAAGGTTAATCGAACATCTACCTAAGAAGGTGCAGGAAATCCATACTACCTTCATAGATGTCACAGAAAGGGAAGAGTTGTGTTAGTGAATGTACAGTATCAAATCAGTAATAAAAATGGAATATAAATAGATAAAATGAAAAGACCTCATCCGAAAGGTTTAGTGACTTTAAAGCGTCGTGTTTTCGGAAACGCTTGGCCCTGTATCTGACTAGGGACTGTCCACAAACTACTTATACTTCAATTTATTATACTTGTTTACATCAAATCAACAACGCTCACAAATTGGCGCTTTTTTTTGCAGAGCAAAAATGAGAACTCGTTTGATGGGACTTTCTTGTTATTTGTTTACAATTGCTTGATTGGGCCAATATTTTGTAAAGTTCTGAATAAAAAAAGGTTATCAAGAAAGAAACTGATCAATATCAAGTCAAACGATGTAATATGCTTTTGCTGCTTTCCCTCAGTGTTCTTTGTTGAGCATGTTTACAACCATTAGCAGGGTGGCAAGGGAATTTCTGATTTTAAATTCCTGGTTTTTTACCGGTTTTCCTGGTTTCTTCTATAAAAATTCCGGGTTTTTGAACAAAGCTTTAAATCTATTAGTTTTGTAGATTTCCTTTAATTCTTTACATGAGTGAAATGTTTTTTTTTTTCAGTAACTTTAACGCTCTTGGATCATTCGTGACTTGTCCGGGGTGACATTTGAACTTGTGACTTTGACGTGAGAGGTATGGATGCTTACCACTACACCGGGGTCGCCCCTATGAGAGAAATGTTTAAGTATATTATATATATATTTACTGAAATACTTCAAATGATATGCTTCGTATGCAAACTAAACTGGTTTGAAAAAAAAAAACAGAAGTTAAATAATTATTCCATTACGTATATTCAACGTTCGCTGAGTTGTGTCGACTTTTCAACAACCAAAGGACAATCGCTAACTAAAATGCATATCATGTGTCAAACCTGATATTAAAAAATATTTAAAATACATCAGTGCCCATCCGGCTCATGTCAACAAATTGAAATTAAATTTTGACGGATAAATGTCCATTAACGGAGTATTTGTTTCAGTCCAAGGTTTCCAGTTAGCTAACGTTTACTGTAATCAAGCGGCTTAAGGCCAATTTCTTGACCTCCCCTCAAGCCTTAGTCCTGGTTAAACTAAATGGGTACATTGGTCCTTATTGGCGATATTGGGATTTACTATATACATATGTCATCAACACTCCGAACCCGAAGCCTCGGTAAAATGTGTAACGGCAAACTTGAAATGTTTGAAAAATCTTGGCTCAGCCATTTATTGACAAATTTGAAATTTATTGGCACCATCTGAAAATAGATATTTAAAAAATTATTCGGTATCAATAGATTTAAAATCGATTTTTCAAACATTGCCAATTTTCTGCTACACATTTTACCGGAGGCATCGTGTGGTAAAAAAGGAGTGGTAAAAAAGGGGTACAGTTTTCATTCAACTCACACTTTCTCTTGTCAATCACGTATATCCAGCACCGAAAGCAAGATTTGCTATAGATCAGTGCACGTAGATGTCAAATTTGACAATTTTGTGTGGTTTGTTTCGGTTCACATTCGTAGTTATCTGTTGCCATCACTTTTACTCTGGTGTTAAATGAAAGGGATCCAACAAGACCAAATTGTGAGGTTAGGGACCGTGCACTGATCTATATGAGCTTTCATCGTGTTTTTTCTGAGTCTGTGTTGCATTTGGTGAATTTTCACTTAAATTTGACAGATGGAAGATTTTCAAATAAACCTGCTATTAGGTACTGCAGCGTGACGTCATAAATGAACTCAGTGTTAATCGGCTGAACCTTTTTGACAGTTCAGTGGTACTGTTTACAAGCACTTAATGATTTTTTCAAAAAAAAAAGTATTCTAAAATTTCCGAATTTTAACTTGAAAATTGTCGAGGAACAGCGCGTTGAAAGGATGTTGCTCGTGGATATGGCAGAAGTGTGGTTTACATCTCACTGCAGTCTGAAAAATTATCGAGAAAATCCACCCAAGAAAAAATCGACTAAGTCCACGTAAACAGTACCACTGAACTGTCATCAGATTGAGGTTAACCCCGACGGTGCAAAACCTAATTGTACCAGACTTATTCCGACAGACCAGGAATGAATTTTAACAAAGACCGTCTCGAAAATAAGAAAGTCAACAACAGAGGGGAGTGTTCACTCGGCTGTCGACAGAAGCAGACCACTCTCAATGTGTGTCATGCGATCGTCTGTTTACTCGGCAGCAACCATTGTGTGGTCCTCCTCATTGTTCTTCATCAGCAGTTCTTTCAATCGATGCGTCGTCGACTTTGGAAAGCAACCGTTTCGTGATGAATGTGTGAGTGCTGACCACGTTTTGCGTCCATTGTTGCAATGGACGCGCTCTGGCCCTCTTTGGCGAATCTGCCATAGAATGAAACCACTGGAAGCGGCTCCCGTTCTGGTGGAGGAGGCTTATTGGACAGCGGAAGATAAAGTGTTTATTGTGTTGTACCTTTTTACTATAGTTTTAAGCTGTATTGTATAGTGAACAAGAATCCTCGGCTCTGTAAAGTTAATTCGGTTGAGCCTTATCAAATAAATTAACTAAAAAAAAAACAAAAGAGGGATTTTCGAACATCTTAATTTATTTTCGAAGCGTCAAATTTAAGTGAAAATTCACCAATTAGGTACTGCAGCGTAACGTCATAAATGAACTCAGTGTTAATCGGCTGAACCTTTTTGACAGTTCAGTGGTACTGTTTACATGCACTTAGCCGTTTTTTCGAAAAAAAAATATTCTTAAATTTCCGAATTTTAACTTGAAAATTGTCGAGGAACAGCGCGTTGAAAGGATGTTGCTCGTGGACATTGCAGAAGTGTGGTTTACACAAGGGGTAGGTCACTCCGCACACCAATCTTGTGTCATCTTTTTTGTCAGTGTGCCGCAAGTATGTCGATTGTGCAGGTCATAGAGCAAGCTGCGATTGTCTGTAAAACACCCATCCTAGAGTCGGTGTATAATGAGTCACGCCAAGAGAAAAACAGTTGAACTCGCATCACGGTTTTCGAAAGATTCCCTTTCTTTTAACTTGGCAACAGAGGACTTCTGCATCAACTTCAAATGACTTCTAGCGAGGAAAAAAATAACGGCTGTAGTATATCATTATATCAGTGATTTTGTGGAATTATCTTAAGGAAAAATAGTAGAAATTGTCATTACTGGTCATTACAAAACGTATCGCATGACAAATGTAATGCTCACTGCGTGTATATGATCATTTCTTCGGTTATATTTAATATTTAATTGCAATACCTTTCGTGGACCTTTCATAGCATCGTAATGCTTGTTTACTTTGCACGATAGGTAGCCGGTTTGACAGTTCAATAGGTAGACTTGGCTTCACTCTTGGCGTGACTCATTATACACCGACTCTAACCCATCCCGGCAACCTGGTATTTCTGACACCTTGAATGTTTTGGTTTGAAATGTTTTGGTTTGAAATCGCAAGAATAAATCGGATTGAGGATGACGCGGGAAGTGGCGAGTGCGCGAAATTTCGGTGTTTTGTGATCCATAGGGTCATAAAAGTCCTGTGTTTTAGTGTTTTATAATGGCAAACCAAAGGCAAAGGCAGACCAGAAACCGAGCCTTTCGGCCGGAAAGAGTTGGAACCGGTGGGGAGCATTGTTGAAGACCGACTATAGAGGGTGATGAATAGACTTCTTTAGTTTGTTTTGTGGGAATTGCAGCATTATTTGAATTAAGGGTACTAATGAGGTCTGATCAACTGCCTCATTCTCTTCAGCCCACTCAGGAACCTTCATTTCGTATTTAGATCTATAAGTGAACTGCTGGTCTGAGATCCTCTGGTATATTCAATTAGAAGATGTTCCTGAACATACAGTCAAACAGCACCTAATATTCTGAACAACTTCAATGGTCCCATTTTATTTACAACAATCTAATGTCTACGAGATTGTTCCGAAGGTATGCTGAAAATGTGTCGATGGATGTTCCCAAGCTGTGCCGAATATAATTTCGGCACAATGTGCTGAGCGACTTACCCCTTGGGTTTACATCTCACTGCAGTCTGACAATTTATCAA